AAGGGCTGATGGTATGAATGCAATGGCTGATGCATGCAGGGTCAGGCATGGCCATGCTGACTTAACTGTCTCCCCACCATGTCCTTACACAACCCCATCTAACTCATCCAGGAAGATCCATTCCCAGAGCCAAAATGAGGCTCCCAGCTTCCACCCAGTGCCCTCCAAGGATGGGCCTTGGCTGGTGGTCACAAACAGGAATGAGCAGTGTGTCCCATGGGCAGCAGGTTACCTTCAGGGAGTGATATCCTGTGGACACCACTGTGGGATTTTGCTCTTAGAGTGGAGAAACTTTGAGAACCCATAGACTGAGCCTGAATCCCAGCTCACTGTGCATTTTCTTTGCAACTTGCAGCAAGTAGCTTCAAATTTTGAGACTTAGTTTCTTGATCTGTCAAGTGGGTAGGATTGATCCAGATGGGAAGCATCAGAGGTGGGAAAGGTTCCAGGTTTGGCTGGAAGAATCAGATATGTCACCAACTACTGGGCAGGCATATAGGTCACTGGATATGGGAACAGCAGGCATGACCCCCTGCTTCCATGGTTCAGCTCTTCACCCCTCTGTACCCGTGCCCTCTGCATGGCAATCTTCATTCCTCCCATGAGAAAGAGGCTATGCTAGATTAAAATCCACAGTAAACTCACCATGGCTACAAATTTATTTGCCTCTTCTCCCCCCAAGAGATGGGATGTATTTGCCTCTCCTTGAATCTGGCTGGCTTTGCCACTTGAGAATGCAGAAGGCATGATCCAATGCAAGTTCCCAGCCTAGGCATCAAGAGGCCTTGCATTTTCTACCTCTTCCACTTCTACCATCAGGACCAGCTTCCCAGACCACTGATCTAGGAGGAGGATGAGAGACATATAGAGCAGAGCCACCTTTAGGTGGGCCAGCTGAGCACAAACTGGCCCCAGCCAAACCCCAGAGTCATGAGGAATAATGAGCCATCAAGTTCTAGTATCTTCGCACTAGGCTCTGGTCTCATGGAAATGATGTTATTATGAGGAAAGTCACAGTAATAGAAAGAAACCAACAGGCCCCCTGGGAGCTTCAGGCCCATTGCCTCTCCACTACCCAGCCAAGAGCAGTGTAAGCATTAAGTGTTTATGGATCCACATTATACCCCCTCCTATGCTTTCTGACACCACAGAGTAGGGGAGGTGAACCAAGAGGTGTTTTCTGGGAGGATAATTAGATCGTTTTCAATGCTTGGCACTTGGTAGATGCCCTCTTCAGGGGACACTTCTCATCATTTCCAAAGTGGCACACACAACCCATAAAAGAAACACCCCTGGGGTGCCTGGGTTAAGTGACTAGGGAGATGAGCCATAGGGACCCACTGGAAACCTACTTCATAAGGTTGCCCTGGCAAGACTGGAAGATATAGCAGATCTACCTAATACATAGAAACAAACAGAGGAGCAGTCAAAGTGAGGGGACAGAGGGACATGTCTCATCTGAAAGAAAGCACAAACTTCCATTAAAAAGAACCAAACAAAATGGAGTGAATTAATCTACCAGGAGTTGGTACCTGAAAAGAAGATAAACAAAATTGATAAGCTATTAGCCAAACAAATGAAGAAAGAAAGAGTGAGGGCCCAAATAAATAAAATCAGGAATGAAAGGGAAGTGATAACTGGTACCACAGAAATAAAAAGGATTAATATGACCAATCATATCCCAACAAACTGAACAACCTGGAAGAAATGGATAAATTCCTAGAAACATATAATCTTCTAAGTCTGAATCAGGAAGATACCTACCAACAAAATCGAATCAGTAATCCAAACTCTTCCACCAAACAGAAGCCCTGGACCAGATGGCTTCACAGGTGAATTTTACCAAACATTCAAAGAAGAATTACAACCTATTCTCAAACTGTTCCAAAAAGTTGAAGAGTAGATAGAGAGTCCCAAACTCATTTTACAAGGCCAGCATTACCCTGATATCAAACCAGACAGACATTACAAAAAAAAAATTTAGGCCAATATCCCTAATGAACATAGATGCAAAAATCCTCAACAAAATATTAGCAAACCACATTCAGCAATAAATTAAAAAGATCATGCACTATAACCCAGTGGAATTTATTCCTAGGATGCAAGTTTAGTTCAATATCTGAAAATAAACTAACATGATACACCAAAGAAAATGAAGGATAAAAGTCATATTATCATATCAACAGATGCAGAAAACCTATTTGAAAATATCTAAAATCCATTTATAATAAAAAGCAAAGTGGGAATAGAGGAAACATACCCTAACATAATAGAGACCATATATGCCAAACCCAGAACTAACATCATACTCAAAGATGAAAAGCTGAAAGTTTTTTCTTTAAGATTAAGAACAAGACAAGGTTGTCCATTGTCAGCACTCTTATTCAAGAAAGAGTGAGGGCCCAAATAAATAAAACCAGGAATGAAATATTGTATTGGAATTCCTAGACACAGCGATTGAACAAGAAAAAAATAAAAGGCATCCAAATTGGAAAGGAAGAAGTAAAACTGTCATTATTTGCAGATGGCATGATACTATATAAAGAGAACTCTAAAGATTCCACCAAGAAAAAAAATATTAGAACTGGTAAATTAATTCAGAAAACTAGCAGGATACAAAATTAATATTCAGAAATCAGTTGCACTTTTATACACCAATAACAAACTATCAGGAAAAGAAATTTAAAAAACAATTTCATTTACAATTGCATCAAAAAGAATAAAATACCTAGAAATAAATTTAATTAAGATGGTAAAAGACTTACACTCAGAAAACTTAAAGACATTGGTGAAATAAATTGAAGGAGATACAAATAAATGGAAGGATATACTGTGCTCATGAATGGAAAGAATTAACATCATTGAAATGTTTATACTACCAAAATCAATCTACGGATTCAGTGCAATCCCTATCAAATAACAATGTCATTTTTCACAGAACTGGAACAAATAATCCTAAAATTTATATGGAACCACAAAAGACCCCAAATACCAAAAGCAATACTGAGAAAGAAGAAGTAAGTTGGAGGTATCATGCTGCCTGATATAAAACTATACTACAAGGCTGTAGTAATCAAAACACCATTGTACTATCATAAAAATAGACACACAGATCAATAGAACAGAATAGAAAGCCCAGATATAAACCTACACCTATATTGTCAATTAATTTATGATAAAGGAAGCAAGAATATACAATGGAATAAAAATAGTCTCTTCAATAAGTGGTGTTAGTAAAACTGGACAGATTCATGCAAAAGAATAAAATTGGACCACTTTCTTACACCAAATACAAAAAATAAACTTAAAATGGATTGAAGACAAATTTAAGACCCCAAATTATAAAACTCCTAGAAGAAAACATAAGCAGTATACTTTCTGACATTGCTCTTAGTAATTTTTTTTTTGATATGTCTCCTTGAGCAAGGGAAATGAGAGCAAAAATAAACAAATGGGACTTCATCAAACTAAAAAGTTTTTGCACACTGAAGTAAACCATCAACAAAATGAAAGGAAAATCCACTGACTGGAAGAAGATATTCACCAACAATACATCTGATAGGGGGTTAATATGCAAAACATAAAAACTCATACAACCTAATACCAAAAAGACCAAGGAATTTAATAAAAAAAAAATGGGCAGAGGACCTGAACAGACATTTCTCCACAGATGGCCAATAGACATATAAAAAGACGCTTAACATTACTAATTATCAGGGAAATGCAAATTAAAACCACAGTGATATATGACCTCACACTTCTCAGAATGGCTGTCATTAATAAATCAACAAGTGTTGGTCAGAATGTGAGGAAAACGGAATGCTTGTGCGCTGTTGGTGGGAATGCAGACTGGTGCAGCCACTATGGAAAAGAGCATGGAGTGTCCTCAAAAAAATTAAAAATAGAGCTACCTTATAACCCAGCAATTCCACTTTTGGTATTTACCTAAACAAATCCAAAGCACCAATTTGGAAACATATATGCACCTCTGTGTTCACTGCAGCATTATTTACAATAGCCAGGATATGGAAGCAACATAGATGTCCACCAGTGGCTGAATGGAAAAGGAAGATGTGATACCTATTTACAATGGAATATCACTAAGCCATAGAAAGAATGGAATCTTGTCATTTGCAACATCATGGATGGACCTGGAGGATATTATGCTAAGTGAAATAAGTCAGACAAAGACAAATACTGTATGATTTCACTTATATGTAGAATCTAAAAAATAAAATAAATGAATAAACAAAACAGAAATAAACTCATAGTTAGAACATATTTATGGTTACCAGATTTGGCAGTGGGGAGGGGGTGCCAGGGAGGATAAAAAAAGTGAAGGGTTTAAGAAGTACAAATTTTGCCCTGGCTGGTGTGGCTCAGTGGATTGAGCACTGGCCTGTGAACCAAAGGGCTGCCAGTTCGATTACCAGTCAGGGCACATGCCTGGGTTGCAGCTAGGTCCCCAGTTGGGGGTATGCAAGAGGCAACCACACACTGATATTTCTCTCCCTCTCTTTCTCCCACCTTTTCCCTCTTTCTAAAAATAAATAGATAAAATCTTTTTAAAAAGAAGAAGTACAAATTTCCAGTTATAAAAACAGTCATGGTATGTAAAGAACAACACAGGGAATAGAGTTAGTAATATAGTAGGTACTATGTATGGTGTCAGGTGGCTACTACATTTACTGGGGGGGTTGCTTCATAAGTTATATAAATGTCTAATCACTGCACTGTACATCTGAAACTAATATAATATTGTATGTCAACTTTAATTGAAAAATTTTTTTTAATTTAGAAAAAGTCTCTCAATGATCAGGTGTTTTCTTCTCCGGCTTCCTACCTGCCTGCAGACTTCTGGGTATTTTGCCTATTTCATCTTTTTCACCCTGTGATGACCTTCTTTTACCTGGACTCCTGACTTCCCACTCTGAAGACCCTCTGTAGTTAGTCCTGGTGCCTGGCCTTCCACCCACTCACAAACCATGCAGGCAGCTTACCTGGACCTGCTTCTAAGCCTCTGTTCTCTGATCCCTGGTACCTTCCCCAGTTGTCTGATTTGGTTTCAGCTTTCCCGGTCTTCTGTCTCCTGAGCTCTGATTGGAGGGTCATGTGGCTCCGAAACTTGTTCTCACAGAAGTATGTGCACTGCTTAGGGTGACGTCCGCAGATAGAGGCACAGCTGATGCAGTCCCTCAGGAGCTGGTCATAGTACCTGCCTTGCTCCTTGTGACAGTTTAGTGACTCTGGGAGACAGAAATGAGTGATGCTAGTATGTAATGAAGACCTTTAGAAACTGTGGGTCTGGCCTCAAAGGGCATTCAAAGTTTTTAAAAAATCACAATCTATTTCCCCAAAAGCCATTCCATGGTAATCCTAGTCCTTTTTCAATATCCAAATGTAAGGAGGACAACAGTCCCCCAAGTATTGTTTTAACCATGTCACACAAATTTTGATATGTAGTATTTTTTATATCTAGTTTTAAATGTTTTTACCTTTCATTGTTATTTCTCCCTTGACCTACAAATTATTTAGAAGTGTATGCTTTAGTTGCTATACATGCAAGGACTTTTCAGTTATCTTTTAAAACTGATATATAGGCAATTATAGTGTCACTAAATTCCTTGCTTGCATTTTTCAAGCCTCATAAAGAAGAAAAATATTTTATGTCAAAATAAGGATTGGAGAGGCAAGCCAGCATTCTCCTTGGCAAGTTGGGAGAGGTGTGTGGAAAGAAGGTAAGAAAGCTCAAAATATTGGTAGTTCCTCTGCCTTAGTAATACATGAGAATTGTAGGAGTTTATATAGGCATCAGTGCCAAGCAGCAGAAGCCAAGCACAGCAAGAGTGGTCACACTTCCATTAAGAGAGCAACAGTGAGAGCATAAGCAAAATCTACACTTTCCCAGGGCATATTTCCATTGTCTTTAAAATAAGATCCTATTTATATAAAAATGTGGCTTCCATGGGGACTTCTAATGGCACGTTTCAGGGGCAATGCAAGACAAAAGTTAACAACACAGTCTTCCAAGCCAAGTAGTTCTACTACGTGCAAGTTGTAGGGTCTTAACTTCTGTATGCCTCAGTTTCCTCATTTCTAAGTGAGGGGTAATAACAACATTGACTTTTCAAGGTTGTTATGAGGATGCAAAGTCCTCAGCACAATATCTGACACATAACACATGAATGCTCAGTTAATGGAAGGTTTAAGTAGAATATTCACTGTGTCTCTTTGCAATACAAACACATGAACACTTATGCCCTTGACAGATTAATAAAAAGACCATAGAGATGGTGAAATCAGGATCTCAGGAAAGTCTCCAATGATCCTGATTTACCAGTGGCCTCCCCTGCCCTAGCCCTGCCCTGTTCCAGGGTTCTACTGAGCCACACAGGACCACTGCCACTGCCACTCATGAGACAGAGTTAGCCTGATGGCAGCAGTGTTCCTGGGGTTTTCTGTGACCTCCTTCCCTCCTCAGGGACCCTAGTGTGGCTGTTGCAGGTGGTGTGTGAGTTGCCCAGACCACCAACCCTCACTGCCTGACTCACAAACCTTTCCTCTGGCCCTTGATCTTCCCTGTTGTGTTTTCCCATGTCCATGCCTTTGCCCACACTTGCTCCTCTCCCCAGGGTGCCCTTCCTCCTCATCTGACTTTCACATCTGCAAGCTCTAACAATCCATTTCAGGGGGCATTTCCTTTAAGAACACCCCCCTGCTCCCCAACCTATCAGCTGGAGGTGGTTTCTTCCCTACTGTGGCGTTTTATGATATTTTACCTTTATAGCTTAATATGTAGTCATTTTTCCCATTACCTTCTCCCACCTTCTGTTATTGCATCATGTGAAATTCCTATTTTAAAGGGGCTAGAGAGTCCCATGAATACTTGCGGAATGACACCATGAGTATTTTACTTCATTAATGGATAATGACTCACAGTCATGGTTTTGGAGTCAGAGAATTCTGGCTCAGATCCTAACTTTTCCACCATCATGCTGTGTGATCTTGGGCAAATCATTAAGCCTCTCTGAGTTCCACTTAACAAGTATTTATGAAACACTTGTTATGTGTCAGGCTGACAGTCTGGCAGTTGAAACAGATGTGTAACAAATACACATGACAGATCATAGTACAAGTTGTGATAAGTTCCACTAAAGAAAAGAACAAGTAATGCAAAAAACAGCAAGCAAAATGTATTTTTCAAGACAATCAGAGAAAATTAGGTATGGCCTGAGTAAAGCAATGTTAAGGGATTATTTCTGGGGGTGATAAGATATTGATGTTATATTTTAAAGGCCCTGTGTGTTAGCAATTCATGTACAGGTAAGTGATATGAGGTTTTGGATTTGCTTTAAAATACAGAAGCTAAAACAACTGGTTGGGGAATAAAAAGGCAGAATTTTTAAAGCTGATTGCTGATGAGTAAACAGGAGTCCATTATGCTATCCTCTCCATGTTTGATAAATCTATAATAAAAAGTTTCAAAAGAAAGGAAGAACAGAGGACAGGGAACCTAATTTCTGTTGGGCAGTCAGACCTCTGGCATTTGGGCTGAGACCCTGAGGCTGAGTCGGAGACAGCCACGGGAAAAAGAATGAGGAAATGCTCTTTCACATGAAAGGTGCAAAGGCCTAAGGCAGGAAAGAACACAGTATGTTCAAGAAACTGCAGAGAGTCCAATGTGGCCAGGGCAGAGAGATGGAGGGCAAAGGGATGCCACACTGCACATGGCCTTCCACAACCCCTCCTCAGGCACCCAAGTGCAGTGGGTCCAGAGGGACCACAGGGAGGTAAAGATGGATGATCCAGCCACCCTCTTGGTTCAGGTCCCAGAACTCACTGCAGAAGGCTGTACAGGAATGTGGAATCCGATGGTTGCAGATGGATCTGCAGGAGTGGCAGACGTTCAACAGGTTGTCCCAGTACTGCTCACTGGGGCATGGCTCCATGGTGACGACAGGCCCTGTGGAGTGGAGGGGCAGGAGGCATAAGGGCAGCTGGCACACCACTGGAGGCTGGACAGCAGGTGACCTCTCCTGTTCATGTTCCCACTCTGTCTCAGGGGCAGAGGGGAACCTGGACAACACTGGCTCCCACCCCCTGCTGCAGTAGCTAGGGGACCTGGAGCAGCCACCTCACCTCCCTGAGCCTGCGTTTCCCGATCTCCCTCACATCAGCCATGGCCTCCTTGATGCTGTTCTCTGCCCTCTTTAATGTGCCATGCCTCTTCCTACCACGGGACTTTGTCACATGCTGTTCCACTAACGTAAAATGCCCTCTTCCTCCACCTCAGCTGGTTGTTTCCTCCTCTCCCGTTAGATCACTGCTTCAACTTCATCTCCTCAGGGGACCCTCTCTGACCCTCCCACCCGGACGGACAAGGAGAGACACCCTCCTTCTGCACACGGATATGCCCTTTAGTTGTCGCTTCACTTTTCTGAGTATGGTAATTTGATATTAACAGTGAGCATCATGAGGGTAGGGGCTCCATATAATTTTTTGTTCACTGCTGGCTCCTCAGAACTAAGATAGTACCTAGGATAAGTAGGTGCTCAATGAATGAATAAAAACAAAAGCAGGCCTAGCTAGTGTCTAGCATACAGCAAGCACTAAATAACTGACAAAGTCCCTTCATTTTTTAACTAAGGTATGACACACACACAATGTCATATGTAACATACACAAATGTCAAGTGTGCAGCTTGATAAATTTTTCTTTATGTGTACGGTAGTCCATCTTTTCTTGTGGGAGATACATTCCAAGACCCCCAGGGGATGCCTGAAACTGCAGAGAATACCAAACCCTATATATATTATTTTTTTCCTACACATACATACCTGTGATATGTGTTTAACTTATAAATTAGGTACAGTAATAGAGTAACAGCAATAACTTTAATAAAATAGAACATTCATAACAATGTATTGTAATAAAAGTTATGTGAATGTGGCCTCTCTCAAAATACCTTATTCTACTGTACTCACCTTTTCACGTAAAGAAAACAATTTATGGCTTCTCTTTGGTGTATCTGAATGGGGAGCATCACAGTCTTTGTGCTTTGAGGCCATTAAGTAAAGTAACACAAGCAGTGCAGCATAGCGACAGTGGCTCTGATAATCGAAGTGTGTGCAGTGGAGATGCTGGGCAAAGGGACGGAGCGGGACCATGCTACTCAGAATGGTGTGCAGCTTAAAACTTTATAAATGGCTTATTTCTGGAACTTTCCATTTAATATTTTTGGATCACTGCTTACTGGGGGTAGCTGAAACTGCAAAAAGCAAAACAGCAGGTAGGAGGGACTACCGTGCATCTGTGTCACTACTGCCCACACTAAGGCAGAGAACATGTCTCGCACCCTGAAGACTCCCTTGGGCCCTCTCCCGGCCAATACCCACTTTCAGAGGTAACTTCTCTCCTGACTTTTATCACCAGAGGTTGTTAAATTGCCCATTCTTGGGCTTTGATGTCTGTGTATGTTGGCCCCAGGAGGTATCAAGCACGCCTCCCTGTCGCTGGGCCTGTCAGCAACCCACCTGCAGTGATGAGTTTTTCTGCTGTGCGAACCTATTGCGTCCCTATCATGCTCTGTCTGATTCCATGACACTTGCTTCCCCAACAACTTCGCCTTTTAAACACCCTGCAAGGTACTTAATCTTCTTTTTTTTTAATGAAAGGAAGCTGAGAAAAGACCAGTGGCTCCCTGTTTAACATAGCAACTTAAACACCTGGGTTTATTTTCTTGCCCTCTTGGAACCCTCCTAAGATAGCAGGAAAAAATATTTGTTCTCAAAGAAAAGAGAATGGAAGAAGTTACTCTAGCAGGGGACAGATATCAACAGCATTTTGGAAGATGAGAGGCAGATGGTGAGGATGAGTGACTTTGGTCTAAGATCTCTCTGCTCTGGTGTCCCTAGAGGGGACAGAACCCTGGGCAATTTCTTGAACTGGAGGCATCAAGTATCTCTGACAGTGGGGAATGGGAAGGCAAAGTAATGAAGAAAGTATTGGTTAGATATTTATATAAAGGGGGCTTTACCTCAGTCAGATTCTCATCTCCTGGCAGGCAATGGCCCCTTGCACTCCAGGCAGAAGATCAAAGGTCTCCTCAGACACTCTCTCCGAGGCACTAGGGGACCAAACCCCCAAGCCAGGCATGTGCCCTGACCGGGAATTGAATTGGTGACCTTTTGCTTTTCAAGAAGACTCCCAACCTGAGCCACATCACACTGGTCATGGTGTGGCTAGGTTTTTTAAAATGTCTTCTTCGCCATCCTAGTGTAACGGGGGAGCGGCCCCACTGGAAAGGGGGAGGGGTGGAGAAGCACTCAAGACTGTGACTGACTGGGGGCTGAGTTGCTAGAGGGATTGCTAGTGATGCTGCCATAGCACTCCAGGACCTACCTGTCCGGGAGCTCAGTAGATTTGGGGTTGGAGGTGGGGGTGGGGAGGCTCAGGAAGAAGTTAGCGGGGAGGCTAGGGCACAGACAGAGGGAGACTCAGCCAGCAGACTGGGAGAGGGCCAGGGTTACAAGCCCTGTGCTCCTCCCCTAGGTGGGAAGCCATGGCAACTGCTGCCCATCCATGCCCCACACCTCCAGCTCGGGCCCACAAGCCCCACGCCCCATCCCAAGCAGGAAGCCATAGTGGCTGCTACCTGCCTGTGGCCCATGCCAGTGTAGGCCATTTGGCTACAGCCCCAGTGCAGCCAGGGAGGGCCAGGCCACATGTTCCTCCCTGAGCAATTCACACCTAACCCAGAGCACTGGCAGTGCCAGGAGCAAGGCCTGTAACAAGGGGGCAGCAGGGTAGGGATAGGAGATTAGGGCCAAGAGGGCCTGGGAGGCAGGTCCCTGGAGGTGGCCTGTGGTCCTTCCCTGGCATGAAAATCTGCAAGAAACCACTGTGGTGGCCACCCAAAAGCAGGTTGCTTGCTCTCCTAGCAGCAGGGACAAGAGTGGGCATCAAGTGTGTGTGTGTATGTGTGTATATATATATATATATATATATATTCCATTTGCCTTTCCATCAGACTCTTGTCTCCAGAGTTGCGGTTTATGGGTGGCAGGAAGTGGGACCCCACTTGTTTGGTTACAGCAGTGGCACCCAATGTGGGTCCCTAGCTGCTTGTGGCAGGTCAACTGCCACCCCCTCTACCAGGGAGTGGGACTGTGAGACTTCCCAGTTGCTGGGAATTTCTCTATACAACTGTTGGGGCGTGAGCCACTTAAACATGCCTGATAGGTAGAAAGGAAACAGGTCTGGGAAAGTAATAGACTGGGAAGGAGGAAGGATCACTTGAATTTTAGGCTGTGAACTGGAGTCCAGGTGAGAAGCCTCCCCACTGGCCATTGTTGGGGAGGCCATTGCTTGAGTTCACTGATTGTGAGACTGGCTGACAGAAAAACTTGCTGGTGAGCATTTGTTGAAATAATGGAGTTGTAGATGCCAATATTCTCTGTATGTTCCCAGGTTGCCTGGCTTCTTTTGGTCATAGGGTTGGGCCTGTTGTGTATCTGGGCCAGCAGAAGCCATTCCGAGTTGGTTCCTGGAGGGAGCCCACTGTGTAGATTTTAGCGGACTAGGGTATGTATAGCCATTATCCAATGTCTAAGGAAGTGTTGGTTTATTACTGTAATACCCTGTGGCCTATGTATGTTTTGGATTATGGGGAAAGGTGGCCCATGGGTGATTCCCTAGATCACCATACTATTATGCAACTGGAACAGTATTGTCAACAGTTGCATAAATGGGATGAAATCCACTATTTCAAGGCATTTATGTCATTGCATAACAGGGTCTCACCAGAGACAGAGGTCCACTTAATGGTGCAAAGAAGTCAAAGGCCCTTAAAATGCCTTTCTGACTGTATAAAGGAAGAAAATGAGAATGAGGAAATAGGCCTCATTAATGCTCTAAATTCAAAAGACACAAGTTTCATGGCAGGAGGTCTCCCTCTGTTGTCATCCCTCCTGCAGGCTACCAATGAAATAGGGCCTGAAGAGCCATTGGCCACACCCCTGTATGATGAAGGATGGGTCTCCCCCTTGAAGACCCATAAGGGTACCCAATTTGACCAGGGAGCCTCCCTATCAGGAACAAAGCAGTTTCCTTTGAGGCAGTATCCTATAGGTGGAATAAATCAGGAAGGCCAGCTGGATGGCTACTATTGGGCCCATACTCCATTCTCCACTTCAGACTTGCTGAATTGGAAGAATTCCAGCCTTTATACAGGGATGATCCTCAGAGAATGGCAGACCTTATCACCTCCATTTTTGCCACTCATCACCCAACACAGCCAGGTCTACAGGCTCTTCTCAATGCTTAGTTAATAGCAGATGCGAGACAGCTGGTTATAAATAAGGCTAATGAAAAGGCCCAATTCCCTTGGATCTCATTAGGATTCCAAGAGAATCCTAATGGGATCCCCAACCCAGCTGAGGTAATGCCCTTGACAGAGCCTGGCTGGAACCCAAATGGTGGGGACCTACCCTTCCTGGAACATTACAAAAAGTGTATTCTGGAAGGGCTTAAGGAAATGGTGCCTAAGGCAAGGAGCCTGAACATGATACTAGCTCTTTGGCAAAAGCCAGATGAGGACCCATCTCAAGTTTTGGGAGAGGATCTGTCAGGCGTATGGAAAGTACACTTTCCAGAGTACAGATTCTCTGATGCTAATCCGTAGGCACCAGAGAATGTGCAAATGGTGAACATGACTTTTATTGGGCAAAGTGCCCTGGATATCAGAAGGAAACTCTGGTGTTTAGATGGGGCATTGGAAAGAATCCCTCTCAGCTAGTAGACTTAGCCTTTAAAGTCTACAGTGCCTGGGAAGCAAGGAAGATAAAGCAGGCCATGATGTTCTTAGAAATAGGAGGCGAGACCAGAGGAAGCAGTGGGACCCTAAAGACAAAAAAGAGGCTCACTAGGTGCTAATCAATGTTCTTATTGCAAGGAGGCGGACCA